AGTAAAAGCATTAGAGTTGTATTTGAAAAGGCAGTTAACTAGAAACTCAAGTGTCTTTCTGGCATTTTCTCTTGAGATTTTAGTAACATGCAGCTGTCGAGAGGAACCAGGATACAAAAAATGTCTGAAAGTTTATGGGAGATTAACAAATATTTACCTCTTTTTCTGGTTTTAAAACGCTGGCCTGATAGCGTTGGTTTCTGCTGCTTTTGATTATTCATAAAAGACACCCTAGGGGAAACGAGAAATACAGCCTTAAAAGCCTCTGTGCCAGTAATGCTCATTTCTAAAACCATCAAACCGTAGTCAAAATCATACAAAAATCAAACCTTGTACACTTTCAGCCTTTCAGGGAGCCAGCGAATTTCTCTCTACAAGAAAGCTTTTAAGAAAGTGCTGGAACTACACCTTGGGTGACTTTACAGAGTCACAGCGTCTGGTGGCAAACCACTTATCACGTGAGAACCTAGTTGCTCAGCCTCTTCCACATTGCTCTTTACGTTCCCCTACACCTTCCACTAGTTTGAAGTACCACAAAACTTCGAGATGATTAGACCATTCGGTGATAACCTGAAACCCTCAAAGTAACCCTTCAACCCAGCCAAAGGGAATCCCTCCTGCTGAGCAGCACCCACCCTCACTCCAAAGTCGTGCCAGTAACCGCAGTGACAGCTTGCACCTTCCAACCTACAAAACTGAGCTGGCAGTAAACACTACACCCAACCCCTTCCTCCTCTTCCCGGGGCACGTGCCTCCCGCCCAGGTGGGCCCCACTCCCGACCCCAACACGCCTCCCGCCCTTCTCCACCGATCCAGTCGCCTGCGGTGGTGGCCGCCGTGCCGAGCGGACCACAGGAACCGAGGAGCTGCGCGCAGGACCGTCCGCCCTCCCTCCCGCCAAAGCAGCGGCAGAGGCGGCGGCCGCGCCCCGCCCGCCCGAACTCCCCACGCGTACATCACCGAACAGAGGCCGCGGAGGCTTTGTTACCCAGTCGGCCGGGTCGCGCCGCCTCACAGCCACCCGGCCTCCCCCGCGGGCGGCGTGCACCCGCGGCCTCTCGCGGCCCGGCCCGCCGGAGCCACGGCCCCGGGCCTCGAATTCAGACCGGCCCCATGCGGCTTCCACCCGGTCCCAGCCTCGCCTTCCCCGGCCCGGGCCCGGACCTGCGGCCACCGCGCCTCACCGAATTTAAGGCGAAGAGAAGAGAGCCAGAAATCTCCGAGGTGGCGGCAACTGCGGCGGTGTCTCCTCTGCGACCGGAACTAACGCGAGCAGGAGGAGGTGGAGGAAGAGGTGCCACCCCCGCCTGGCTGCTCTGTTATCGCGAGATTTCGCCCCTGCGCCACCCTGCATCCGCCCTGCTGGGGCCTCGGGGTTGGCAGCGGGGGGCGGGGGGCGCTGGCGGGGACAGCAAGGATGGATTTCTTTACTACCCTTTTAGGCTCCAGGCTGCCTTCATAGTTGTCGGAGGCTAGCCCATTTCCCTCCTTGTGCCGCATCATCGGTTCTCTGAGCTCACAGTGGGGGTGGCAGAGCGAGATCGTCCCCCGCGGGGTTCGAGTTGGATCCTTCCGCCTGGTCCATGTCCCCGACCCCTCCTTTGGCACCGGAAGTCGGATCCCGCGGGTAGAGGGCGCTGCGCGGACTGGCCCTGAGGCCCAGCCGGGCCCAGGGGCTGGGTTGCTGGAATCCCCGCTTCGCTTCCGGGCTGCCTTGGGTGGAGTCTTAGGAGTAGACCCAGGTGTAGGGCTCGGAAGGGCAAGTCTGACCCCCGGTGGCCACCATGTCTTGCAGCGGTCCCTTGTCCCCTGAGTGCGGCAGACTGGGGACCTGTTCAAACAGATTGCGAGGCCCCGCCCACTTTCGGAGTTTATAATTGTCTGGTTCTGATGCTGGACCAGAGATTCCTGCACTGCCAGGGTAGGGGTCACACAGAACCATCCAGAGGGTGTCCTCGGGAAGATCAGATCAGCACCTTGGTGGTTGTGCCCTTTCTGTCTGATGCCTCACTCTCCTACCAGAGAAACCTTGAAATAGGATTTGTCCTTAAAATCACCTTCCCCGGACCGGTTCTCTTTCTTGTCCGACGCACTGGTGAAAACAGTGTTAGTAGATTTCCTGAATGTTTTGTCTGCTTCCTTCAAGCACCACCTTAATTCTTGGTGTTGCTTCCTGAAGTTAAAGTCGAATTTAGTCATTCTCAGTCTTATCCCCCTTGTCTCATTTAGTATGTTACCGGTCTTCTTAGAATCTTGTTCAGAACGGACTGCTTTTGCAGAAGACCCGGGTTCGAATCCCAGCACCCATATGGCAGCTAACAACTGTCCTCTAACTCCAGTTCCAGGGGATCTGACAGTCTCATCTGTCCTCCACGGGCATTGCACGACAGGGGTGCATTTACATACCTACAGGCAATACATGCTTACACATAAAAATAATAAATAAAATGAAAAAACCTTGTTCTGAGTGTTCGGGCTACTCAGTCATTTTTGTATTTTTACCAACGACTTTCCTGTACTCATGCTTTGAAACTTCTTTCCTCTCTCTTCCATGACAGTCTCCTATGTTCTTGAGGAGTTAGCATTTACTCTATTTAAAGGAGCTTTAAGTTCACCTATTAAGTCATTAAACCAGTATTTGTTGGATCCAGGCTCTATACCCCCTGCCTCTCCTTCCAAATTGAGGGAACAGCTCTGGGAAGGTCTCCATGCAGGAAAGAATCGTCATCTATTGGAGGTACTACAGCAGGTGACCTGGAGCTTGGTGAGAGATGGAGGTCAGGGGGGAAGTGGTGGGAGTTAGAACTTACCCCACCTTCTCTCTTTAACCCCAGTACCCTCTGCCATTTCACTGGACAGCCACATTTAACACTCAGTATTGTGGACTCATCCTCATACTATTTTTGTTTCTAATTTGTTAAAGGTACAATGTTTCAATATATTAAAAATTATTTTTTAAAGTGTTTGAGGGTGTTGCCTGCATGTATGCTAGTGCACCTGTGTTGTGTAATGCTCCAGGAGGTCAGAAGAAGGTGTTGGATTCCTCTGGAACTGGAGTTACAGATGGTTGTTAGCCACCATGTGGGTTCTGGGAATTGAACCAGGATCTTCTGCAAGAGCAGTCAGTGCTCAACTGCTGAGCCATCTCTCCAGCCTTCACTATATTTTAAAAAGCTGCTTTTACATAGCATGTATATGTATCAGGCACTCTCGGAAGCCCTTTGTGTATTAACCTCATTTAATCCTTTAAACTGCCCTGTAACACAGACACTATTGTTAGTCTTATCTTGTTTTGGGGAAAATAAGAGTTGGTGCTCAAGGCCATAAAGGTATTAGTGGAAGAGCTCAACTGGAGCCCAATAGCTTGGCTCCACCAAGAAAATAAACCAAGTCACTGAGATATTTTTTAATTTGTTCTACAAATACTAAGCTAGAGGCTGATGGAAACATAGAGGTGACAAGTTAGATCCATTTCCTCAGAAAAAGTCCTACATTTGCCATATTCAATTCTATCTTTTCCAATACCATCTTTTTAAAAAAATTATTTATTATTTTTATTTTATGCATATTCGTGTGTTGCCTGAATGTAGGTAAGTGCACCTGTGTTGTGCAATGCCCGTGGAGGTCAGAAGAGGCTGTTAGATCCCCTGGAACTGGAGTTATAGACAGTAGTTAGCTGCCATGTAGGTGCTGGGATTCAAATCCGGGTCTTCTGCAAGAATAACCAGTGTTCTTATACGCTGAGCCATCTCTCCAGCCCCTCTAATACCATCTTGATTTATATTTGTTTTTGTTTTTTGAGACAGCGTCTCATGTTACTCAGGCTGGACTTGAACTGGCAATCCTGCATCAGCCTCCTGAGGGATGGGATTATAGGCATAAGTCACCAAACCCTGCTTGATTGAGGTTTCTGTTCCCTTGACTAGATGGAACTTGTGTTACATCTTTCTAATTGCACTATCTCTGCATTTCCAGAGTGATATTCCTGAATGAAGCCCAAGCTCTTTTTCATCAATGTTTAAATGCGTTGGTTTATGTGCAAGTTCCTAGGATAGCTCTAACCATTATTTTCCACTGTTACCGTAGCATTGATGACTTTATTGACATACATTCTGGTGTCAGCAAGCAATTTTTTTTTTCTTTTTTTGAGACTGGGTCTCAACACATGGCCCTAGCTGACTTGAAACTTGTTATGTAAGCCAAACTGACCTTGAACTCACAGAGATCCGCCTGCCTGTCTCCTGAGTTCAGGTATTAAAGGTGGTCACCACCACACCTAGCATCAGCAAGCAATGTTTTTGGGTTTGCTTGTTTGTTTGAGTCTGATATGTAGCCCAGGCTTGCCTTGAATTTTCAGTCTTCTTTTTCTCAGTCTCCCAAGTGCTGGATTGCAAGTGTATACTGCCTTTCCCAGGCAGTAAGCAACTTTTTACTAAAACCCATACTAAAGTTAGAAAGTTATTTTTTTAATTAATTAATTAATTAATTAATTTTTGGTCTTTTTGAGAAGGGTCTTCCTGTAGCCCCAGCTGTCCTGGAACTCACTATGTAGACCAGGCTGGCCTTGAACTCACAGAGATCCGCCTACCTCTGTCTCCTGAGTGCTGGGATTAAAGTGTGACATGTGCCACCACTCCTGGCCCAGAAAGTTATTTAAAAAAAAAAAAAAATTAAAGTGTGGGGACTGGAGAGATGGCTCAGTGGTTAAGAGCACTGACTGCTCTTGCAGAGGACCCAGATTCAGTTCCCAGTACCCACATGTAACTCCGGTTCCGGGGGATTGGATGCCCTCGTCTGACATCCTTGGGCTTTGCACAACACGGGTGCACTTACATACATGCAGGCATTACACTCATACACATAAAATAAAAATAATAAATAAAATATTTATTAAAAAAAGTGTGGGCTGGGTGGATTTCTGTGAGATCGAGGTGAGGCCAGCCTGGTCTACATAGTGAGTTCTAAGCTAGCAAGGGCTATAGGGAAACCGTTTCTCAAAAAGACCAATAAATAAGTAAATAACTAAAATAAAAAAAATTGAACTGTGGCTAGGGAGATGGTTCAGTGGGTGAAGTGCTTGCCACAGAAGTATGAGGCCTGGTGTTCAAATTCCCAGAACCCACATAAAAGCTGGGTGGATGTGGCAGCCTACCTGAAATCCCAGCACATGAGAGGTGAAGATGGGGTTCTCTGGAGGAAGCTGGCTTGTCAGGCTAGTCATATAATCAAACTCTCTGTTCAACTGGGAGACCCTACCTCAGTGAGTAGGGTGAATAGCAATCAAGGAAGATTCCTCCACATGCATGCACACACATGTATACCCACATATGCAAACATATACCTATGCATACATAGTACACACATATGCAAAAAAGATGAAAGTGCATCCAAGATTTTCCTTATTACAAAAGCATTTTCAGGCTGGGCTTGGTGTCACACGCCTTTAGTCCCAGCACTTGGAAGGTAGAGGCAGGTAGATCTCTTTGAGTTCCAGGCTAGCCAAGGCTACAGAGGGAGATCCTGTCTCAAAAAAGCCCCAAAACCAAACCGACAAACAAAATTCTCACTTGTATTCTGAAGTGTATTTTGGGGTTGGAAGAGGGCTGGGGTTACTAGTAAAATAGCACACTGTTTGGCAGTCTGTCCTTATGCTTTCAGGGGTGTCTGGGAGTAGGCACAATGGGCTAGTGTAGGGAGTGCCCATTTAGAAGCTGTATTATGGTTGAAAAACTTCCTAAACAATGAAGTGGTGCTTTAGACAGCTAGGATACGCTGTATCTTTCTTCCTGACATGTCCTTTCTGCATTTTCTATCAAAATCCTATGTACTGTTTCCAGCCTACCTCAGCCACCTTTCGTAGTTATTCTAGCCAATGTGATTGCATTCTTTTTTTGTTTGTTTATTGACATTTTAATTGAATTTTTTTGATTTTTTCATACAATATGCTTTGATGATATTTAGATTCCCTCCCCTATCCACACCTCTCCCTGCCCCCCGCCCAATTTAATGTACTCTTATATATACATATTACAATCTATAGAGTCTGATTTGTGTTCCCAAATGTCCTTCAGTGTTGGTCCACCCACTGGGCCCACCAAGAGTCCCATCCCTGTAAGACACTGTCTTTCCCCTTCCCAGCAGCTATCAGTTGCCAAAAGTTCCTTAGGTTGGGTTGGGTTGGGATTTCTTACCTTCTTCCCCATGTCTGTGTTGGGATTTCATCTGATTTGAGCTTGTATAGGACTTGTGCATGCTGTCATTGGTGTGAGTTTATATGGGTAACTGACTAGCTGCCTAGAAGACTCTTGTTCTTGTGGTCATTTACCCCCTCTGGCTCTTACAGTCTTTCCACTTCCTCTTCCACAATGATCCCTGAGCCTTGGGAGGCAGAGGTTTGAAATGGGTGTCCTATTCAGGGATATGAACCTTGTGGCCTCTTGTTCTCTGCACGTTGGCCAATTGTAGGTTTCTGTGTTAATCAGTATCTGCTGCATAAGGA